GAGGTGGTTCTTTTTCACAGTTGTGTCTCTAGTGCCTCGCAAAGTGGCCGGGTATGTCATAGGTGCTCAGAGAACATTTATTGAATGAATAAATGGCAACATTATCTGTCTAGAACACAGTCAGGAACCAGGACATCAGAAAAAATCAAATAGGAAAACTTAAGAGTGTGTAATATAAACGGCACCAAATCTACACAGTATATTTAAAAAACACAAGAGTCTTAAACAGTTGTCAAAATTTAATTTCTTGTGGTTGTGGGATTGAAGTTCCTGGTAGAACTGAGGTTCCCCTCACCTTGCTGGCTGCCAGCTGGCGATTGGCCTCAGCTTGTAGAGGTTGCCTGCATTCCTTTACCCGAGGTTCCCTTCTCCATGGACAAGCCAGCAAATGTGCGTCAGATCCTCCTCTTGCTTCAAATCTGACATGTTCTTCTGTCACCAGACAGAGCTCTTCTGTCACCAGACAGAGAATATTCTACTGTTAAAGGGATCATGCAAGTAGTTTAGCCCCACCCAGAGATGGATCTCCCTATCATAAGGCCAATGAATTAGTAACCTTAATTATGTTGCTGGGTGAACTTGGGAGACCCCAGGCCCTGAGGCTTTGACCCAGCCTGTCCCAAAGATGTCGCCAATGGGTCTTGGTCTCGTCACATAAAGAATTCAAGGACAGACACAACACAGTAATGATACATTTTCGAGATGTGAGAGCACCAGTGCACTGCTGCCCACTGCGGTTTGGGTTTCTTTTATTGACAGTTGTCAGTAAGGGGGTGGAATATTCATTTCTTGGGGCGGGGATTTCTTGGAAGCAGGGTTTTGTGCTGGTTTGATTGGCTTCTTGTGGCTTTGTTTTGGAGTGCTGCCAGGACGGGCCTCTGACCTTCCCCACAGCTGCCCATGACCTCCTCCTTGCTGGCCTCCAGGCATCCTGTTAGAGCCTCACTAACTGCCCACTCTGACAATTACATCTTAATTATAACTTTTGGCATGGAAACCAACAGTCAAAAGAGAAATACTAGAGGACAGAGATCATGGGGCCATCTTTGAATTCTGCCTACCACAATCTTACTATTTATTTATTATGCAGTTGATGAACATTTGGGTTGTTTCAAGTTTGGAGCTATTATGAATAAAGCTGCTCTGAACATGTATTTAGCTTTTAGTGGAGTAAGCACTTGTTTCTTTAGGATCTGTAACTAGGAGTGGAATTACTTAGTTATGGGGTACACCTGTGTTCCACTTGTTACTAAATGATGACACTATCACTCAGTATCTGAAACTCGAAGACAGAGCTGAAGATGTATGCTGACTGGGTACAGTCCTGAACAGAAGAGATTGCTGACCTTCTATAGGAGTTTTGAGAAGCATGCAGTTCACTATTGCTGGATCTTTATGGGGTTAAGTGGGCTGACGTCGTCTGTGGAAGCGTGGTTTCATGGAACAGACTGTCGTCAGTTAGTTGGGACTCAGATGTGTTTATTGGAATGAGTTATTCTGGATTGGCTGATTTTCAAAAGCTATGGGTTGTCACTAATTGATTGACTTGCAAAAATACGTTCTCTGAAGTGAATTGTTCAGTGATTGAACAAACCACATCTGGGCTATTTGACACCATGGGTACAGACCAAGCAGTCTTTTCCTGGGAAGGAGGGAACTTTTTTTTCATTCTGAAACTTTAGTAGATAATTCTAAAGAATTTTCTAGGGGTGCCTGGGTGGCTCAGTCGGTTAAGCCTCTGCCTTGGTCTCAGGTCATGATCTCCGGGTCCTGGGATCAAGCCTGCCTTGGGCTTCCTGCTCAGCAGGGAGCCCCCTTCTCCCTCTCCCTTTGCCCCTCCCCCCAGCTTGTGCTCTCTTGCTTGCTCTCTCTCTCTCAAGTAAATAAAATCTTTTAAAAAAGAAAAAAAAAGAATTTTCCAAAGTGGTTGTACATACTGAACTATCAGCATTCTTATGTGAGTGCTCCATTCATTCCATATGCTTGTGATTTACCCTTAAATTGTAAGAGGTGTATTTACCTTTAGAATTTTTTAAATGAAGTGCTTCATTGTTCAGTATTTCTATTCCCCTGACGACAGGGGCCTTAACACTGTAACATTTAACTGAACTGTACACGTACCTCATCTTGTCATTACACGTTAGAATTTTAATTTCATATCCTTCCCCTTTTGTGTAGTAAAATATTCTTATGTAAAAAAAAAAAGTGATGAAGGATATTCTTTGAAAAATTGCACGTCATCCCTGCCCCCAGCCACTCCTTTTCCATCCCAAAGACAAATGTTGCTTGGGAATTCAAATACACATATACACATATTTTGTATACAACTGATAGTGTGTTAGTCACACTCGTTCTTCACGTTGCTCTTTCCAGTTAACTGTCTTGGCAGTCCTTTCACATCTGTGCATAAAGAGCTTTCTCATTTTTTTAAACTGCATCGTAATCCAATATACTAATTACTGTAATATGTTTTTGCAGTGCCCTGCTGGCGGACGTTCATGTTGTTCCCAGCCTTTTCCTGTCACAAGCCGTGCCTCAGTAAATAAGCTTGTACGTACAGCATTTTACATATGATTGAATATATTACTTTTTAGGGATTTTTTGCCATAATCGTTTACATTTATTGTCATATTTTTAAGTTCTTGGGCTTATGTTACTTCTTCTTTTCACACCTTCTCTCTGAGTTCACTTTTGTTTGCTGAACTGCATCCTTGACTTTTACGAGGGGTCTGTGGGTAGCATATGACTTCCTTCTGTTTGGCTGGGGGCAGATTCTGAGTTGGCCGTCCTTTCCCCACTCCGGTTGCATTCTGTTCTCCAGTTTTCATGAGCAGTCTGCTGTTTCCTTTGTAGGTCATCTGGTCAGCTTTTAAGGTTGTCTCTTTGTTCTCAGTAGGCTGCAGCTTCACTATATTTCTGTCTCAGTGTGTACTCTTGATCTGAGAAATCATGCCTTTATTTCTGGAAAATTCTTAGTTTTATTATCATCCGTGATTTATTTCTCAGCCATTCACTACATTCTCCTCTTCTGAACCTCTTGTATTAAAGTTGTATTCTCTCAACATACATCGTTTCATCTTAATTGCTCCATGGTTTTTGTCTCTTGCTGCATTCAGAGTGAAGTCTTTAGTGTTGTCAGATACTGAACAGTTAAAAGTCACTGTTATTCTTCAGCTGTATCCATTCTGTGGTTTATCCTCTAATGCATTTTCAGTGTCAAAATTTTTTTCTAAGATTTCGAATTCCTTTTTATATCTACCTGATGTTACATTTTACCTGTTTTGGTTTCACTGTATTTCTCAAAATCACTTACTCTCTAAATTTCTTGGACTATGGATAGAATAAATTTCATCCCAAGTGAATTTCTATTTTAATTTTTGATTGTTTTTCTTAGGGTTAGAATTTTGCATGTTTTGGAATTTCTTTTGAGTGGGAAAGTATTTTAGATTTTTCTCACTTCATTCAGCATTACATCTAAGACCCTTTCTGGGTCTTACATCTAGGGCATTCGTGTCACTGCCCCGAGTGGTTGTTAGGTGGACAGACCTGGTATGGAGCCAGCAGCTCTTGGCCTTGATTACTGCAAATGAGGCTGGTCCTGTCGCTGGCTGGGCCTGTCGCTCCTGATAAAGCCACAGGCCGGGTCAGCAGCAGAGTCGTTTTTTTCCTGCCGGCCACCCCCACACCCCCATGAGTGTGGAACTCCCCTGAGGCCCCTGCCATCAGAAAGTGAGCCTGGATGCCTGCACTCTGACACACGCCACTGCCACCTCGAATCCTGAATTCTAGGCTGTCCCCAGCTGTTTGGAGACCCGTTAGCCCATAGCCTCACTGCACTTGCTACTCTGTGTGTCTGTTTCAGTCCACTGAGATTTTTATCTTGTTTTGTGCCTGGCCATGTCCTTTTCTTTATTTCTTCTTATGTATCATCTCCTAATGTATGGAGCCAGTTGGTAATGAAGCATAATTGGCTGTACCATGTTACTCTGGAAATCTGAATCCGATCTTCGATTTGTTGCTTTTGAGCTGCCATTGGGATTTCAGGGTTATGCCCCTCTCGGGATCTAGAATTAGGCTTCAGCACACATTTGGAAGGTCACTGAAGGTCATAGTCTGTCTTGGCCTTTCTTGAATATTTCTTCCAGGATTTTCAACTATCTACTGAATATTGGTCTATGAATTCAATGTTTTATCTTGTTTGCCTTATTTTCTCTATACAAGGATATTCAACTCATTAATACTGCTTTGCTAAGAATACCAGGTAATTAATATTTATTTAGCAGTTGCTGTGGGCCAGGTACTGTGCTGAGCTTTTCATATACATTATATAATTGTCACAACAGTCTTCTGAGGTGGGTGCTTTGGTCAGTCCCACTTGACAGAGGCCACATGATTTGAACATTACTCACTATGCAACCCTGTTTCTCTAAAGACGATTTTAAAGAACTCATTCCATTTGGTTCATCAGAGGACACCAAATTGCACATAATTGAATAAATCATGTGAACAAAACATTTAAGAAAGATTCATCCAGGGGCGCCTGGGTGGCTCAGTCGTTAAGCGTCTGCCTTCGGCTCAGGTCATGATGGGATCGAGCCCCACATCGGGCTCTCTGCTCAGCGGGGAGCCTGCTTCTCCCTCTCCCACTCCCCCTGCTTGTGTTCCCTCTCTCGCTGTGTCTCTCTCTGTCAAAAAATAAATAAAATGTTTAAAAAAAAAAAGAAAGATTCATCCACAATTTCGTGGCAAATCTAAACTTGTAAATCCTCTAGGTGTTTTGTCATAAGAGGTGTTTAGGATCTGTAGCAGGTTGGAACGTGGTTGGAGTGGGGACAGACATGGAGGACTGGTTGAGAACACTGGATAACGTATACAGATCCTGGGAGCAGGAGTGGTGTGGGGAGAATCGAAAGAGGCTGTCTGCCCACCCTTCTTCCCTTCCCTTTCCTTGCCACAGCTTGATGAAATGAAAAGGGAGAATTCAGTTACTGATCCCGAGAATGTCCATGGAGCCCTTGCAGTGGGTCGGCACCGTGCCGGGCATTAGGGGTAAAGACAGGGTTCACTGTGGCACAAGACCAGGAGGTCAGTCCGTTTTGTTTTTTTTTTTTTTTTTTTTTTTTCAGGAGGTCAGTCCTAAGCCCAGCAACTGTCGGGGGAGCAGCACAGCAAATAGAGAGGCCACCCCACCTGTGGCGGTGGGGCTGTGAGGAGTCTTCCTGTGGTGTTCCATGGTTTCTCAGTAGCATTAAGGTGCAGCCCCATAGTCATAGAACAGTTTGTGCCTGTAAATCTAACCCCGTGGGAAGCCACACTTAATAATAACGAAATCCAATGCAAGTTCATAGTTAGGAATTCTCAGACTTACAGGCTTCCTGGACTGAAGACTCAAAAACCCTGACACCCAGATGCTGCAGTAAGGAGTGAAAACAGTGCAGTCGTGGGCCTTGGACATTGGCAAAGAGCAAGCTCCACAATCTTGGTTAACTCTCTGTGTTTTCAACCCTGTAACCTAATTTTATGTGAACATTGCACAAACGTCTGTCTCTCCCACTTTAAATGCCAGGAAGGCAAGGACCAGGTCTGCTTCCTCTTAACTGCTGTGGCCAAGGTGCCCCACACCGTGCCAGGCTTCTGGTGGACACACAGCATTTGCATGAATGGAATAAATACATTTTCCCACAATAAAGCGTAGCTGAAAAACTTTAAATTCTCTCATACATTAATAATTTATTAACACAGAGCTGAAGTCATATATAAAACTCAAATTCTACCATGAAAGTAAACTACCAGTATAGCCACCATTCAGCCTCCCAACTTAAGTGCCACAACCCTGCAACATACTCTTACCATTTCCTTCCTGAATCGTACTCAGTATTTCTTTAAAATACAGATCTAATGCTGGGACAATGAAATAAGAGCTTCATGCCCCTCACTTTTCCATATAATAAAGTCTAAACATCTTAGCCTAGAGTTCAAGGCTGTTTTCTAGTACAGTGCATCTTTCCCCACACTTCTACCCTCACCCTGTAGCCTACAGTTCATCCACCAGGACCCCTGCGCAGTGTGACCGAAAATAACTGAGGTCCTGTTGTTTGCTTGGCCTGTCATGTTGAGTCCCCTCCCAGCGCCCTGTCCTTGCCTGAAAAATTCCTCTTTGTTCTTGTAGGCCTAATTCAAACACACTTGCTCCTAAGCCACATGCTTTCACTGCTCTGTACCCAGTCAGAATTATTTTTTCTACTCTTTGCTTTCCTGGTTGAATCCTCTATGATAGCAATCATCATTTGATTTTATCGCTAGTTTTGTGCGTCCTGTTCTTTACCTGATGCTACTGTATATTGATAGTCTACCAGGCTTTTCAATCACTACTATTTCTTTGTTTTCTTGCAATAAGTATTTCAAATGATACAAAAATGAGAAAAAGTACAGAGAGTATTCTGTGAAGGTAAATTTCCCTTTCTCTTTTTTGCACTTACCTAGTTCCCTCCCCAGTAGCCACCCCTGTGTGTCAGTTTTTCAGTTTTTCGTTGCCATAGTAACGTGATATAACAAACGGCCATAGAACTTTGGTGGCCGGCAGCAATCAGCATTTCTTTAGCACATGAATCTGTGGGGTTCAGCTGACCTGGGCAGGGCGGACTTGTGTATCTGCAGTGACCTGTGGGTATGCCAAGCAGTTCTGCAGACCTCATCCAGACTCACTCACGTGTCTGGGGGTGAGCTGAGCCGGGAGGATCCATCTGCCCTGCTGGGGGTGACGGGTTCTGTCCCACGTGCCTCTTTCATCAGGAAGCATCTCCTCCCCCTTGCAGTTGTGGAGTGCAAGGGCAAGCCAGCTACTGAGTCGCACAAGTACTTCCCAAGCCTTTGCTCGTGTGACATTTGCTGGTGTGACGCTGGCCAAATCTGATCACGTGCTTAAGCACAGACTCACAGTGGGCTGGTGGGTGGGGGGAGGGCTACAAGTACATGGCTACAGGAAAGAGGGAAGAATCGGGGCAACTAGTGTATTCTGCCATATGCTTTTCTCCAGATGCTTCACATATAACATAGATGATAGCATGATCGTCTTTGTTCCTGTCCTTCAGTTTTTCCCCCACTACTTTTTGATTTCCATTAATACATGATGTTTCATCATCAGGTGTGTCCTCTTAAAGGAAAATACATCAGGAAATCTTTTTTTTTTAAGATTTTATTTATTTATTTGAAAGAGACACAGTGAGAGAGGGAACACAAGCGGGGGAGTGGGAGAGGGAGAAGCAGGCTTCCTGCCGAGCAGGGAGCCCGATGTGGGGCTCGATCCCAGGACCCTGGGATCATAACCTGAGCCGAAGGCAGACGCTTAACAACTGAGCCACCCAGGTGCCCCCATCATGAATTCTTAAATGGGGTTCCTCTTCACCCCAGGCCGGAGTGAATCTTCTAAATTAACCCTAGAATAGCTTCAAGAGAGGAACAGGAGGGACTTAAGATTGTGAAGGTGGAGGAAGATGTGATCTGGGACCAGAAAACCTACCATCGAGAGAACAACTTTTCTAGCCAGAAGGCCTCCCGACAACTTTTTAGGCACTTTTGTTATCAAGAGACTCCTGGACCCCGTGAAGCACTGAGCCGGCTCCGGGAGCTCCGCCGTCAGTGGCTGCGGCCTGAGACGCACAGCAAGGAGCAGATCGTGGAGCTGCTGGTGCTGGAGCAGTTCCTGACCATCCTGCCCGAGGAGCTCCAGGCCTGGGTGCGGGAACAGCACCCGGAGAGCGGGGAGCAGGCAGTGGCTGTGGTTGAAGATCTGGAGAAGGAGCTTAGTGAGCCTCAGAACCAGGTGAGAGGAGGAAGATGGGCTCCCAGACGCTGAGTTCTAAACGAAGGGTGAAGTTTGCTGACTCAGCGGGCTGGCTGCAGCTGGTTCTCAGCCGCTGTGTAATCAACTGTCCCCAAGCCTAATGGCTTAAAAAACCCAAACATTATCTCTTGGTTTCTGTAAGTCAGGATTTAGGAAGCAAGTTAGGGGGATGTTTCATGAGTTTGCAGTGAAGATTTTTTTTTTTTAACTTGGCGTCTCTTTTTTACCAGTCCTGTAAGGGTGGGGCGATCTAATCCACTCTTGAGGTGGAGAGGGAAACTGAGGCACAGAGCAACAGGGCCATTCAGTGAGTCAGGGCCCATTACCCAGAACCCAGGCACGGTGAGGTGAGGTATAGTGCTGGGGTTGCAGAGCTCCTTCAGGATTGCCTGTTTCAGCCCCAGGCAGTGGGGACCCCACTCCCAGAGAGCATCTGAAGGCTTGGCCGGGCTGGTGGATCCACCTCCAGGTTGGCTCCCCTCCATGCTTGCTGGGAGGGGGCCCCAGTTCCTCACCGGCTGTTGGCAGGAGGGTTCATTCTCTGCCAAGTGGATTTCTGCCTAGGGCTCACTGAGTGTCTTCCTGTCTGAGAGAGAGAGAGAGAGAGAGAGAGAGGAGCCACAGTGCTTTGTAGGACTTGGTCTCTCCGGTTGTGTACCCTCACTTTTGCCACACATTCTCTTCTGTAGAAATGAGTCACTAAATACAATTCCCTCTCCAGGAGGGGGAATTAGGCTCCACCCTTGAAAGGAAGGCGTGTCCAAGAACTTAGGAGCATACTTTAAAGCAGCACCAGCACGCCAGGCGACCTTGTTCCCCCCCATCTGCTCGTGGGTGTGGGATCACACTCTGGGCCTCTCCCTGTGCCATTTCTCTACGGAATGTGTCCTCTGGTTCCATGTGATGTCTTTCGTTGAGTTTTACCCTGGGCTCCTGGAATCCCTCTCATGAACCCAAATATCCCTACCCGGGCCCCAGACCACGAACATGGCCGTTCTGAGGCGCTCTCAGAGGATGTGCTGCATTTGAAGGCCAAGCAGGACTCGATGGCCATCCAGCTTCGGTGCATGGTGACACGGCTCAGAGGTGAGTCTTTGGGTCCCCCCAGATTTGCCCTTACAGGGTAAGGACTTGATGGGTCCATTCGGGATCTCCGGTGGCTCTGCAGAGCGTAATGGTTACGGCTGTAGGCTCGGGGGTCAGAACTTAAACACTGCCTCTTGGTAGCTCTGCGACGTGGGGCGGGTCAGGCAGCCACCCTGCACCGTCAGCTCACAGGTCCGTGGGGTGGAGAGGGGCACAGTCCCTCGCTCACGGGGCTGTGCGGACCTTTAGGAAGTTAGCACAGCGGGATGGGTGGAGCCGCACCTGCGCGCCCCCCGCGAGCCTCCAGCGCCGGCGGCCCTGCTGCCGGCCCCGCTCCGTCTCAGCGCCGTCGTTGCGCCCCGGGCGTGCGGGGGCGTTTCCTGTGCCCCGCCCTGGGGGGAGCCGGTGCACAGGGGACGGAGAGGTGACCGCGTGCGCGTTCTCCCAGCTGGTGGAAGCCGGGAGCGGGCGCCGCGGCAGGAAGTCTTGAAGGAAGTGGAACGTTTTGGAAAAATAGCAGACTCCGAGGAGAGGCTCCTCTAGACGGTGCGTCCGGGGAACCCTGTGCCCAGCGGAGCAGACTGGAAAAGCGGAGGGCGCAGGCCGCCGGAGGGAGACGGCACGGGGGCGGCGGGCGTGGGGGCGGCGTCCCTCGGCGCTCAGTCCTCGTTCAGCCCCGGGGAACCCACCGGGGGAGGAGCCCCACGAGTGTGAAAAATGTGGGAAGACCTTCAGCCAGGGGTCGGGCCTGACCGGACAGCGGCGGAGCCGCAGCGCAGAGAAACCCTGTCAGTGTGAGGAGTGCGGCCAGGGCTGCCGTGCCAGCAGCGGCCCCGTCGGCCCCGGGAGGGGCCCCACGGGGGCGAGGCCGTACGCTGCGAGGCGTGTGGGAAGCCTTCCGCCTGAGCTCAGACCTCGTGCGGCCCCCCAGGGCCCGCGCCGGCGACAGGCGCTGTCGGTGTCGCGCGTGCGGCGAGGCCGTCCGCCAGAACGCGGGGCTCCCCCTGCGCCTGCGCGTGCACACGGCGGGGGCGCCCCCTCAGCGCGGCCAGTGCGCAAGCGCCGTCGCCGGCGGACGCTCCTCGGGCAGGGCCCGCGGGGTCTCGGGCCGCGTGTGAGGAGTGCGGCCACGCCTGCCGCCCCCGCCGCAGCCTCGTTAGGCGCCTCGGAATCCGTTCCGATGCCGCACTGGCCTCCTCCCATGGACCCCAGGCGCTTAGATGGGGCCGTCGTGGAAAGTGAGCTTTTCACACGGCTTACTTTGTTTTCACCAGGTTTTCCCTGCTCCGGAGTGAGTAGCTTGTCGCAGCCCGGGTGCTGTGCCTCGGGGTGGATGGGTGCGGGCGGTTTCCCAGCAGCCTCCGCCTTCCCTGGCCCTCGCTTCGGCCCTGATGATTTCCCTAAAAGGGGCCAAAAGTGACCTGGGAATAAATTGGTGTGGAGGGGCTGTTCCGGAGTGGTGCCGAACGCCGGGCCCTCCGAGACTAGTGTCCGTGTACACTCGTTAAAGACGGTAAGCTCAGGGGAGAGTCGGGCGTGCGGTCCCCCGGAGGAGTCCACACCTTAGACGCACCGAAGTTTCGGGAGTGAGAACGTCGCGGTCCGCACAGGGTCTCCCCGAGGGCTGTGCTGGTGACCTCCTCGGGGCTTTCGGCGGGAGGGACGGCCTGCCGCCCGGCAACGCGGCCTCTTCCCGGAGGCGTGAAACCCGCAGCGGCGCGGCTTCCGTCTCTGGGGGCGGGTCACTGCTGTCTCGAAGGCCTGCGTTTGTTACAAACAATGAGGGGCCGCTCGAAAACGCACACACTGCACTCCTTCCTTCGTAGCCTTTCTGTCGGCGCCACCCGCCGGCCGCAGCCCTTTGCAGGTTAGGCCGGTGCCCTCGCAGGCCGCATCCGTGCGGCTCCGCGAAGAGGAGGAGCCGCGGGGACCAGCGCGCCGGGCATTTACTGTCCGAGCGACACGCGGGTCTGGCGCCGGACGGCCTGGGTTCGGGTCCTGCCCCTCCCAGTGTTAGCCTCGCGGCTTTGGGTGACTTACTCAGAGGACCCCGGGCTACAGTCTCCCCACCTGTAACGGGGGGTGATTAACCGTGCGCGCCTCACAGGGCGCTTGAGAGTAAATGCGTGCAAACTTGTAAGACATGTACAACGGCTCTCAGTAAACGTGCACTCTGGTTTATAAAAGAACTACTACCATCTGATGGGCGCAGGCGGAGTGGTTGGAACTTAACCAGATATGAAATGCCTCTTCTGATATTTGCATTATCCCTTTCCCCAAGGTCAAAATCCGAAGCTGAACTTCCAAAGAGAGGAGATAAAAGTTTAGCTTAGAAGTATACTGTGCTAAACTTTTACCCTTGAAGTTTATAAAAAGAAGTGTGTGTGTGTATATTTGGTTTTCCTTAGACTTTAGGGGCCATAGCAAAAAGAACCTTTTTAAAATTCCTTGACCGTTTTATTTGTGAATAGAACAATTAGCTAAATTCAGGTTATCTGGAATAATGCTTATCAAATTTTAGAGTATCTACAAATCACGTGGGATCTTCTTAAAATACAGAGTCTAATTCAAAAGGTCAGAATGGAGGCCAGGAATCTGCATTTTCGGCAAGCTCCCCGCGCTGCTGCTGGTTCCCGAGCGCGCTCAGAGCACCAGCCTCACCCGCAGCCCTGAATACAGATGCGGCCCTTCCGCTGTGCGCCGGGTGCCGAGCAGGGCGGCTTTCTTCCCCACGCTCGCCCCCCGCTCCCGCAGCCTCCACGGACAGCAGCATGGAGCATGAAACCCCTAAACTCGTGCTCCCCGCGGGAAGATGAGTGAGCTGCCCCCGAGCGCAGGGAGCGGGTGGGTTTGAGAAATGAGGCGCCGGCAGATACAGCCAGCTCTTCGCCCAGCAATGTCTGCCGAGAGGAAGCTGCTCCTCGTCCTCCCTCCGGGCAGGGGCTCCGGGGGATGGGGGGCTGCCCCCTGCTCCTGAGCACACCGCAGACTGCCGGGCCTCCCTGTCGGCCCTCCCTGGGGCCGTGGGCATTCAGGACACGAGGTCTCCACTGCGTCCTTCCCTGCGGTGCCAGCACGAACCACACTGAGCTCCAGCTCCGTCCCTCCGGGGATCGCCCCCCGTGCTCACACAGCCCCCTCCCTTCTCACCTTACAGAGGAGGGAGCAGACAGGAGGCCAGAGGGTAAAGGAGAAGAGCAAAGGCAGGAGAGGCTTCCCAGTGGAGATGGGGGTGGGCTAGGGGAAGAAAGGCCTGAAAGGGCAGTCCTGCCAGGAGGAGAAAATTGAAGGGGGAATTTGGGAATGTTACATTTTTTTTCAGATTCTGTTTCAATGATCTCGTCCAAATGTTGCCTGGTGCACTGGGGAGATGCTGGGCCCTGGGGTCTCAACCCGGCCTATCCCAAAGATGTTGCCAAAGGCTCTTGGTCTCCTCATGAGAAAGAATTCAAGGACAGACATGCAGCACAGCAGGTGAGCGACACAAACCAGGAAAGTTTATTAAAGCGGACATGCCAGCTTGAGAGAGAGCTGCATTCCTGGGGTTTGGGTTTTACCTTTTATTAACAGGTTTTTTTTTTTTTTTAAGATTTTGTTTATTTGAGAGAGAGAGCACATGAGAGAGGGGAGGGTCAGAGGGAGAAGTAGACTCCCTGCTGAGCAGGGAGCCCAATGTGGGGCTGGATCCTGGGACTCCAGGATCATGACCTGAGCCGAAGGCAGACGCTTAACGACGGAGCCACCCAGGTGCCCCTTATTAACAGTTCTTAACAAGTGGGTGGGATATTCATTATTGGAGGTAAGGATTTCTTGGTAGCAGGATTTTGTGCCTTTTTATTTGACCAGGGGTTTCCTGTCGTGGCGCCACCATCGTGGGCCTGTGTGGTGGGATCCGGCTTCTCGTGGATGCTGCCAGGACAGGCCTCTGACCTTCCCCACAGCTGCCCATGGCCACCTCCTTGCTGGCCTCCAGGCATCCGGTTAGAGCCTCCCTGCCTACTCTAATAGTTTCACTAATATTTGTGAAGATAACATTAAAGACCCAATTTCCAAATATCCCCCTTTTATTAAAATTAATTGTAAGATAGCATAATTCATGAATCTATTAATTAGTTATTTTCCATTTTCCAATTAGAACATGGCCTGTTTGGTGCAAAGATACCAAAAGCTACAGCTTAAACAAACCACATGAAGCCCGGAGTGTCTCTGTGAGTGTTGGTTCCCCCCAAAAGTTGGGGGCTTTATTGACTGAACCAAATGGTTTCCTTGTTTCTGATTGCTTAGTCTTATAGCTGGCTTTCAGACATGACAAAAGAACGCCATTTGGGCCATCTGAGACTCAGGTTATCCTTAAATTTTCCTGTTAGGAAGTACTTGCACATATAAGCTTGTATCCATTGTTCATAAAGCCTGCGGGAGTTCTCTGTGGGCAGTTGTTGGTTTTCCAGCAGTTTTGAAACACGGTTCCCTGTTCCTTTTAGTTTCCGTTTCATTTGTAGACTATGGCTTGAGTTAGATCTAAGGATATTAGATGTGGATCAAGGGGGTGCTGCATGTGAGTGTCTGTGTCTTGGTTTCTCCCAGCAAGGCCCTGAGGGTGCTCAGTACACTGGATGGCCCGTCCTTATGTGTGCATCCCTGGACAAGCCAATCATTAGTCACCTTATGAGGTGGGAAGTTCCTATGGGAGAGCTCTGCATCTGGAGGAATATCCTCAGACACTTCTGCTAGGCTATCAGTCACCTGAAAGCACCACGTGCGTGTAAGTAGCAAGTGTCCCCTCTCTTCTGAGCTGAATGATTCAGTTTCATTTTTCCAGCCAGAAAATTTTATTCAAGCCTTATATTAATAACATCAGTTAGTGTAACTCCAAATTAAACGATCCATAAATCACCCCCTCTAAGTTATTCCCACCTAGAGAACATTATCAGTAACCCTCAACAGCTCAAGTCAAAGTCAGGTCTGTATATCCGGAGAATTCACCAGATACACCTGTGAGGGGCTGAGACATCAGAGGGGCGTAAGGGGCCCATGCTGGTCCCAAGCACCCATTTCCAGAGGACCCCCCCCAGGTGTTTGCAGGCAAGTGGCTCTGAGATCCTACAGCTGCGCCAAGAAATGTTGACGCAAGAATGAACCTTTTAGAATTTCTTTTAAAAAGGAAGAGAGTTTTTTTACTCAAGCCCAAGTTAGGACTGCTGCCCGGAATACACAATCTGCACAAAGAAGGCAGTGCTCTGGTGAGGGAGTATTTGGTGTAGGGCTATATTCGTTTTTTACAGAAAAAGTACAAATCATTAGACAAAGGACATTTCTGGAAGCTGCAGAGCTTATGTTACTCTTCTAATATCTGCAGGGCTGCACGAGTCATGGCAACCAGAGAAGTTGATGCCTTTGTGTTCAGAATGCTCCTTTTTTATTATTTTAAGGAAGGAGATGCACATGGTGCTCAGGGCAGAAATGGAGCCCACGCTCTGAGGTTCTGCTGAGTCATTCCGACCTGGGTAAATGTTAAGAGTAGAGCTTCCCCGGGAGCCCAGGGGCAGGGAAGGCTGGACATTGCCTTCATTACGGGTGGAGGGTGCGCCTCCCAGAAGAAGGATCAGGCCGGGGGAAGGCCCTGAGGGCTAGGATGAAAAGCTTTCCTCTGGGCTTGCGGATTGACCTCACAATCGCCCTCCAAGGGGAAGGCGTGCGTACTTCCCGCTGGCCTTTATAACTGCGTGAACTGCTCGGCTTCGCTTCGATGTGGTTGATATTTGGCGCTCGCGGAGGCCCCATCGCCTGTTTCCTCCCCGGTGCCTGGAAAGTTGGGGTCTTCCTCCCGCTCCGGGCAGCGCAGGTGAGGCCGCACGCGCACGTGTCCGGAGCTGGCGGCCGGAGGGGCGGGGCGCGCAGGGGGACGTGCGGCGTCGGGAAGGTCCCGCGGCGACAACGCAGCGTTCGGGGGGCAGGCTGAGGACGGCGGTGGGGCCGTGTATCCCCGGCAGCGGAGTGAGCGCGGACGCGCGCCTTGCCCTGCTGCGCCACCGTCGGAAGACAACGGTGTGGTGCGCCCGACTCCAAACGAGATCCATTCTCGTGGCAGGTGAGGAGTGGGGTGGGGCAAGGGCCAGGC